TTATAGTACTAACAATAAGTTATGACCTTTTATGACAGAAAACATATGACTCAAAAACACCTGTTAATGATGTTTCTGTGAACTAAAATTCTAATTGATTTCATCAACTGCCTTGCAGTTCAAGTCTATCAGTTTTGGACCTGAATCAGAATCATTCACGATTTTTCTGTTCAAATCCAGGCCCTCAAGTAATTCCAGTTTTCTCACCTTTTCATTCTTGCCTTCAACTTCATGTTCTCTACTCCTTTTTGGTGATCCACGATCTTGAGGCTCGCTTACGTCCATAAATGGTTGAGTTTCTTCTTTTCTCCCCGAACTCTCAGATGACGTTAATGAACTTTCAACTGAGTATCCATTGTGTCCCAAAAGTTTGTTCTTAGCATCTTTTAAGATTGAGCCTTCACTCTCTGTCAAAACGGACAACGAAGAACTGAGACGCCAATTGGTGTCTACCATTGATACTAATTGAGAAAGTTCTGCCCTTGCACTTTCCACTTCCATAGAGCAAGAACTGTATCCAGCAAGAGTCTCTTGTGCTTTTTTCAATACTGACTGCAAATACTTTCCTTGAGTTTCAATTCTTAGCTGCAAACACCTTTGCACCTGGAAGAAAATTCCTGTTAATCATCATATGCTGTGTTTATACACAATCGACAATACGTTAATGTGTAGATTGGTACGTTGTACCTCGATTTGTTCATGGAGTTTCCTTTGCACCTCCATTTGCATTTGTAAAGCCCGAGTTATCTGCAAACTTCTGAAAAAGCGTCTCACTAAATCAATAAAAAAAAGAAGAAGAAATCTTGTTTTGCATTCAAAATTTATTGAATAATCTAAAAATTCGCACTCATTAATCTTATCTTGCACTCCATCATAAATCTTGTTAGGGAATTGACTCCTCTGATCATCTTCCTCGCAGTCTGCATTTGTAAATAAGGACATCAGTACTCGTACGGTAATTAACTGTACAATAGACGAGATTTTAGCCTCATTTTGTCCTTTAATCCTATACTGTACAAGCCCACGTCTGCCCCCATTTATTTCCATTCCATTACATTTCATTTTTTTCAATCCTATTTTCAATTACGCAATCTTCCTTAAAATATTATTACACATCCACTGAAAACTTTTCCTTCTTTTTCTACCACTTATTCTTCAAAAAACACTATTCCACTCATTTTCATTTCCTCAAAATGGGGGCCAAGTTTTAATTCCTATATTCAATGCAATGCT